AGATGCCAGGCTATGCGCACAGTCGCTTAGACGTTAAGGTAAAGTCAATTTTGCTTCCTTTTATCGAATTGGAAGCCCAAATTTTTTGGATGGAAGTTTCATTAGTCAGTAAGCTTAGTTCAGATCGCAGTCCGATCGTGTTGTGCGACACACAGTCGCCCATATAGACAGTTGGCGATCCAAACAGGGATCAAAGGTATGTATACTAAAGAAGGCTACTCTTGCGTATACGCATTTTCTTCTGTTTGCCCATGAACTCATGACAGCCATTTCAGATCGGCTTCATCGTCTACGATGCAGTTTCAACAGGCTCCATCGTATTCGGTGCAACTCCGCGTCAGTCGCCCGATACCTAAGGTAACGTCCTTCCTACTTATTTTGATTGAACTGAAAGTTTTTCATCTGAAAAATTTCCATATCCAAATGTTTCATATAATTAGGAGTTTTCACCAGCTAATCCTTTCTGATGTTCACCGCTGCTAACGTTCCTTTCCATTTCACTTTCGTCTTCTTCTACTTCTTTCGGCTTTCAATAGTAAATTTTCTTGCTTACTGGTGTATTGCTTTCTTCAATAGTCTTCCTTAACCAGGCGAACAGCTTTTATTGTACGTTGCTTTCTCGGGGATGTTCGAGTGCGCACGCTTCTCAGTTTGACTATAACTTATACTGATTATAAATTTGCTATCTAGTTTTGGAATTTAATTTTTGTGTTGTTTTACAAACTCTTCTTTTTGAATTCATCTCGGATCACTTTGCTATCATTTTCCTCGCTTTTCTATCCTATCCTCTTTGTTTTTTTTTTCTTCTGCAACTGTTCTTCCTTTCCTAGTGAAACTCTCCACGGTAAATTCCTCTCGTAGTACCGCGTTTGTGGTGAGCCTGGAAATTCCCTATTCTTGACAATCGAATACGTGCTAGCGCGCACAAACGACTTTGAGCTGTAACCTCATAAAACAAAAGTTTTGGAGAACTCCATTTCTCCGGTTGTGCTCTCTCCACAAGTGCCTATTTCTAAAATAGCTTTTGTTTTTCGCATGCTTCCACACACATACACGGCACACAACACACACACGCACACTACGGCACACTCTCACACATGGGTACACGCGTACATATCGATACACACATTGACACCCCCACATGGACACACACGCATTGACACACATACACGACACACACTTGTCAACCACACACATCGACTCACAGGCTCATCGATACAGACATCAACACACACACTCATCAGCACATACACATCGACACTCATACACACATCCATATACTCATACACATCGACACACGCACGCCTTGACACTCAGACACACCGACACGCAACCTTATGCCCAAAAACATGTAAAACTCAAGCCGGCTGGCAAACTTACTGACACACTCGGTGCGTTATACAGGTTATTGTCTTAGAACCTCGATTATGTGCGCCATAATCGAGGTTCTAAGACAATTCATGGGCTCCCATTTTTCATTACTCAGAAGAATTAAGTTTTGTCAGCTGCACTGTTACCGAACCATAATATCTTTGAGGTAGTGAAGGCTCACTCATTGTCACTTGTGATGGGAAGACGTAAAACGTCTTGTGATTATAATAATGGTCATATAGTAGACCGCTAAACTATGCAGAGAAGCCGGATCACTCCGGATAATAAGACAATCCAGAGAAGCTGGATCACTCCGGATAATAAGACAATCCAGAGGGAGTGGAAAGGCCAGTGCTCCAGAGATAGGACTACTGAAATGTCCTTTGCAAGTCGATTGTAATTCCTAGTAAGCCATATGCAGAATCGCAACGGAAATGAACCTGTCGAAGTTTTTCATTGGGGAGATTGTCAAAAGAGCATCACTGCCATTCTTATCATATGCCAATTCACTACTGAAGCCTTGATTCGATTCCTATTCTCAAGGTTGTAGTCCACTTGGTTTCTCTGTATGGTACCGGTTCAGAAGAGAATCTGTTGGGATCGCCATCCCAGTTTGCAATCCTTGAAAGCAAAACTCTAGAACGGCTGAGAGAAAATGGAAGAGGGATATCTGCGTGCAACATAAGACGATGTGAAAAACCGAATTGGAGCCATTATCCGTGCTCGTGAAGGAGCCCTCGAAATGTGATGTGGCTTATTGTTGCACATAGCAGACATTTGTAGACTTATTTGTCATTCGCTTGGGAATTTAGAATGCACTGCAGCGAATAGGCGCCCATTATTCTGCGACAGAATATACATAGAAAGATTCCTAAGGGATGAAGCTCATTGTCAGATCAAAAAATTCATTTTCGTGCCTGATGTGATATGTAGGCGCGATATCGACAACAACGATAACTCTAATTTTTCACCAAGAAATTGGAAATTGCAGAAAAAAAACACATTTGTCATAAATTAGAAATTGCACAGACAGCAGAAAATGTTTCTCATGTCTCAATTGTTTGAACGCTTTACATCGAAATTCCTCGCCCTATTCAATCTTTTCTAGAACGTAGCATCATAACTGCATGACGGCTTTTTCCTGGCCTCGGCCTTAAATTTCACCTTTTCAGAGAACCGTCACCTTTGCGAAATGGTTGTTACTGTGACTCTTTTAACCTAACATCAAAAACATCGTCAATATCGAGGAGAAGTGGTTTCGGGCGGCTGACCAGTGGCGGCCAGTTAAATTTCGTCAGCGGTTCGGCCTAAGGAACAAGTAAGCTCCTCTGACTTTTTGATTTGCACAATAATCTATAGATAACCCAACCAAATTTTGCAGGTGCCTCTCTTCGAAAAGAAGTTGATCCAGTATGGACGACGCTACCGGATTTTTTTTAGAGTTGAGGTGGCTGGTAGGCTTGGGCGCTTTCAAAAACCTTTTTGTTTTTTCCTAGTCATTCTTATTCTTTCGGCAACTACTAGTACCCTCTTAGGCTTACTTTTTGTTGTACTTACTCTTTTGATTGTTAATAGCTTCTTAGGCTTGTTTTTGTTGTTAATTTTACGTTTACTTTTTAAATTTTCTTTTACTTGGTAGTATCCCCAGCGTCTGACTGCGCATCAAATTAACTAGGGCGTTTGGATAGTAGTATTCTACTAGTTTAGGATTCCTTGTTATCATTT